ACTATTCTTTAGATGAAAAGATACTAATGTCATGTCCCAGCATGATGAATGGACTGTACCTTTGATGAAGTTTCTCCTCTTCCATTTTCAGATAATCCAACAGATTATTCCTGTTGGAGGAATAATCTGTTACTGAAAAATCATCATAAAAATCAAACAAAACTACAAATGTTAGTCTGTATAAATTTCTTTAGACCAAAAACCAACAGTCCCGGTCTTTATTTCACTTAAAGAAATTACTTCTGTTCCTGTGTTTCAGTGTTTGGGTCTTTTTTCTGTCGATTGAAGATCTGGGGGAACGAGAACATGGATGATGTCTTCGACTGGTTCTGGTTCTGCTGCTGGTTTCTTCCTGTTGATTCTGAAGTGTTTCTTTCCTCTGTGGCCTCGGCCGTGTTCTGGAAGGATGAACTGATAGAAAATGAAGATTTGATGTGAAGGATTCTTTGACTTGTCAATAATTTATAAATTGACATTGCAAGATAATTATTTCTTAATGAGGTTACAATGAAACTGGTTTGATATTTGTTGCTTTAAACTGGAATGTTCTGGACTGGACAATAAATATGAAAATGATATTTACAGAGGGTTGCACAGTGGTGTGTTAATTGTTCTCTCTAAATTCTCTGTGTGTGTGTGTGTGTGTGTGTGTTCATGGTTGTTTGTTCTGTCTGTCTCTGTGTTGCCCTGTGTCAGACTGGCGACCTCTCCATATTGACCCCGCCTCTCACCCAGAGTGTTTGCTGGAGTTGGGCGCCAGCACCTCCCAACCCCACTAGTTAAACGATGGACGGACATTTAAAGAGTCTAGTATTTATGTTTAAAGTTCTGAATAATTAAAATTCAAATAAAGACATATATTGGTAGATTTCATTATCTACACATGCTGCCTAAATATTTTCCACATCGCTGCAACTGCTTAAATTAGGTTTTTTGTTGCACAAACTTCAAAGTCTTCTCAATCTACTATTATTATTTACAGGTATAATAATATTACATGCAAAGTACCTTTTCCACAGAGATTTCAGGCTTTCCCTCTCTTGCTGGAGATCAGAACTGTAAAGTAAAATACATAAAAAACTGTTACTGAATTGAATCAATCTTAATCCAAGAAGTTTACATCAAGTAAACATTTGAAACAGTTAAATATAATATAATACTGTTTGGAAACTTTTTACTTTTATGTAAAATACTTTGTTCTTGTGAAAGGAACAAAGGTAGACCTGAATGTCCATCTTTACATCATGTTCTTGAAGATGATGTAAAGATAGACATTCAGGTCACCACTTGTTACAAAGAAGATATGCAGAATATCATTCCTTAACACAACATATAAAACCTTAAAGCAGAAGAGCTCCAGCAGGGAAATACCTGAAGTTAAGAATAGGAAACTGAACTGATTGACACCAACAGACTGGAAAAACCTTGATTTCAGCGAAGGCATTCGGGGTCAGATTGGGCATAAATTTAAAGTGATTGATCCAATTGTAGTAACATTGCTACTGCTGGTGGTGTTTTAGCATATGGGATATTTTCTAAATGAACTTTGGGTTCTCCATGATAATGTGTTCAATGAACTCCAATGAATACCACAACCACTAAATCTCAATCCAATATGGCAGCTTGGGGACGTTGTGGAATAAATAGAAAGTTCATCATGTTGGACAACCAACAAATCTGCAGCAACTGTGAGATGCTATCAAGTCTCTGAATGTTTTTTTTTCTCCCCATACCAACTCCATCACTGAATTGATTAGTGCAGCTTAAAGGCATCATGGGATCCAAACCAGTACAAGCAGGTTACAACTAATGAAGCATCTGGTCAATGTGATCTCAGAACTGGAAGTAGATGAATTCTTACCGTGTCTTTTCATGTTGAGTTTGATGAAAACCAGCGATATGTTGGATTCTAATTTAACAGATTAATGTTAGTATTGACAAATCAGATCAATCATTAGAACTGCATTACTGGTGAAGTAAACATGAGGACTTAGACTGGTTGAATTTAGGTTTGAGCTTCAATTAATTATTTCAGGTCATTAAAGGTTTAGATCTGCTGGCAAACATTGATACTGCAACATATAAACATGACAGTTAGAGTATGTATTATATATAAAATAGATTTTAATATAATTCTTTAAAGAAATAAATTAAGCATTTTTTTAACATACTTGGTTTATTTACCCATTTTCCTCATGCATTTTCTTTTTTCATAAAATGATTTTTCTTTATAGATCAAAGACTAGCTGCCATATTCACTTACAACCTTAGCATAAATGGCTACAGAAAAAAAACAAAGATGTATGATGTACCTTTGCCATATTGATGTTAACTTTTCTTCTGCCTGTTGCAGATCAGACCTGTGGAATAGAAACATGCAAAAAGAAAACTGAATTAATTCAAGATGAGCAGACTGAACAAAAATTGTGCTCAGAAAGATTATTCAATGGATCTCAAGGAGTAAATCCATTTAAATTCACTCTGAACCGTCTGTTCAACATAAACATGCGGAAATACAGTAAATGCCAGTATTGGACACACTCCTCTTATATTGAAAATGAAGTTCATAATGAGCAAAAATAGCAGTTTATCATCTTTAATGTGATATTCTGTATATTTTACGTAAACAAACAAATCTGGGGGAATAATTTAAAGAATACATCAGTTACAACATCCTGGATGCATAAGAGGAACGCCTTTAAATTGTTTATCAAAATGGAATTTGCATGTTCTCCCTGTGGATGAGTGGATTCTTTCTGGGTACTCCGTCTTCCTCCCACAGACAAAAACATGTTGATTAGTTTCTCTTGATTCTCCTTAGTGTCCAGTCTGTCCCTGTTTTGCCCTGCCAACCTGCCCAGCCTGTACCCCGTCTCTCACCTGTTGACCTCTGGAGACAGGCACCAGCTCTCCTCACTAACCCACAAGGGATAAGCGTTGGATGATGAATGGTTTTTAAAAGTAAAAACAGATCTTTATTTACCTTATCTCAATCTGGTGGTGCTGTTGAAAGTCTTTCACCTGATCAATCCTAACAAAAACAAAAACTATCATTATAATTAGACGATCTACTCATTAAATGTGAGATGTGTTTGAGATGACAGGCTTATATTTACACAAATGTTGAGACAAAACTGCTACATGAGATTGAAAGAAAAAAAAAGTTTATATACAGTATCATTACTTGTACTGCTGTAGCAGTATGTGTGAAAAAGCCTCTGCTGTTTTTCTGCTCTCTTGGTTAGAGGTTATCAGGTTCTTCATTATGTAGTTCAGTTTATGAAACATCCTTCTCTGCACAATCATATCCAGAATCTCAAGGTTTTTTTTAAATCAGCCTTTTCAACTTTCACTGGTTCACTATGGGACAAATGATCTGTAATCCTTAAAAACTAGTGAGTGAGATTTTTTAGTTTTACAACAAGTCAGTCTCAAGCTCTTCAACTGAGTTTTTACTTGACAATTGAAGTAACACAGGATCAGAAGCTGCGTTTTTAGTTATTGATGATGCAAAAGCAGCAGAATTAATGGAAGAAAACATTTGAAGAGTGACAGAAAAGTCATTTATTAAAAATAAATGCTAAGATGTTGATATGGGTACAATATTTTAGCATAAAAACTGTATCTATGTACATTACCATTGGTGGAGGAATTTTACATTTTCTTGCACATTTTTGAAAGCAGTTCTGTGGAGAAATAAAAATGAAAAAGTGTCAGAAAGTGAGAATGATCTTGATAGATTTTCCAAAACGCTGACATAAAGGTTAGTTTCAGTTTACCCCATATCGTCATATTCCTTTTGTTCAACGTCTTCAAGGGTCCTAATTCTTTAAAACAAACAGAAATGTTAGTCTAAGATAACTGAATGTCATAAAATTAATTATAAAAAGGGAATCTTTTATTCTGTTGAACCTCAACGATCCTGATTTATAAAATCTCAGATTCAAAACGTAAACATTTGATGATTAAATCTGTAAAATGTCTGTTTTATAATGGAAAGAAATATTATGCACAATCTCCTTTTCACTATAAATTGATATCTGTAATATCATGTATTGCAAAATAAAAAGATTTTGTGAGTTAAATACCTCTGGAGGAGTTCATTGTTCTGTTTCGCCATAATCAGATCTATGAACAGAAAGATGGATCATTAAAAAGAGTTCAGTTTTATTTACATATAACCAAGCTTTACACAAACTGAGCAAACATTTATTTACTTTAAGTTTACTTTGAAATTCCTCATGGAAATGAATAAATCACATTCAGTCCCAAATAATAGTCCAACCAAAACATTTTGTTTAAATTTCTGGATTTAAACAGATTTTCAACTAAAATTTACTCAATTATCAACCATGGTTGCAATTTCACATGTTACTCTGCATAAAAACTTCTCTTGTTGAAAATACGGTTCAACATTTTCATTAAAACTAAGAGGAATACAATAATACTCTAACTGACAAAAATAATTCAAACCCATTTCCAAACCTGTAATTGTTTTTCTATTGAGGATGTTGAATTCAGCACAGATTCACTCGACAGCAGGGGTGGGCAATTCCAGGCCAACTCTTAGATGTCTCCCTGGTCCAACACAGCTGAACCAAATAGCTGAATCACTTCCTAAGTGAAGCCAATTCTCCAGAGTCCTGCTAATAACCTCATTATTTGACTCAGGTGTGTTGAAGTAGAGATACATCTAAAAGTTGCAGAAGACCAGACCTCAAGTTGCCCACCCCTGATTTATAGGAATATTAAAGCTTAGTAAAATATTATCACCTTCCACTGCAGCTTCAAAATCTAAATCTTTAGATCAGATTGTTCATTAATTACTTTACCTGTCGTTGCCTTTCAGTCTTCTCACTGTCCTGTTTTTCCTGAAGTGAATGCGTTGTGCAGGAGTCACATTCGCTTTAAAATAAGTGTCTCACTGCTGGGCGGTTTAGGGTGGGCGGAGTTTCTATCTTCAGCTCTTCCCATTTAGATACCACATACTCTACTCTGGATCTGCCTCTCAGTGTTTTAGTTGGACCCTCAACACAACCAGTTGAAGCCGTTTCTACAATGGGAGACTCTTTCATCATAGCTATAGACTTTGGGACTACATACAGCGGGTATGCCTTCAGTATAACCTCCAGAGGCGAAAAAATTGATCCTTATTTGAAGGTCTGGGGTGAAGAAGTTGGCCTGGAAACCCCGAAGACTCCGAGCTGCATCCTTTTTGATAAACAACAAGAGTTTGTGAGCTTTGGTTACGTAGCAAAGGAAGATTACCTTTCAAAAAAGGGCCAAGAAGCGAGAGACATGTTGTTCTTTGACTGCTTCAAGATGGCGCTCTATGGCAATGTGAGTAAAATTCAACTAATCATTAGAGGTAAATAAGTTCAAGTAAAATTATTCAGGGAATATTGTCATTTATTTCCTGAATATATGACTATAGGCAGAATTTGTGGTTGATTTACATTTTATTTTTATAACCTTGACAAGCGTTGAGTTTGAAACACAAACACTCATTATAATCACAATGCTGTAGGAAATCAACAGAGATCTGATGATCAAAGCAGCCAATGGGAAGTCAATGAAGGCACTGAAGGTTTTTGCAGAAGCTCTGAGATTCCTGAAGTATGATGCTTTGGAAACCATCAACTCCAATGCAAAAGGTAAAAAGTTCATTGCCTCTGACTTCACCTGGGTCCTGACGGTTCCTGCCATCTGGGATCCTTCAGCTAAACAGTTCATGAGAGAAGCTGCAATGCAGGTAACATTAAAGTATTTCACTCAACACAGAATCAAAATTTGGTTATGTTCATCTGAATATTTTGGCTTTGCTTATTCTAAAAGAGACGGTCATGTTATTGATTGCAGGCAGGCATTGTGTCAGAGGGAAATGAAGATAAACTGGTCATTGCACTGGAACCAGAAGCTGCTTCAGTCTGGTGTAAAAAGCTTCCAGCTGAAGGTTTCATCAAACAGAACATCAGCAGAAACACCCTGGACCAGTCTCCAGGAACTCAGTACATTGTCGTTGATTGTGGAGGTTATGCTCTTACCTCTGTTTTTATGACTGAATGTTCGTATAAATACAGAATTTACATTAAAATTGTAAACTTTCTCCGTTTTAATGCAGGTGGAACCATTGACATCACTGTTCATGAAGTCCTGGAAGGAGGAGCCCTAAAGGAGCTGCACAAGGCCTCTGGAAACGACCTGGGAGGACAAAATGTGGACAGAAAATTTAAACAGTTCCTGAGAGAAATATTCTGTGATGGAGTCTGGGACAAATATGAACAAAACTACCCTGGAGAAGTTCAGAAAATAATGTATGACTTCACACTTTTCAAAAAGGGGGATAGAGATGTAGAAATCACCTGCTCACTTAACTTGGGAAGATTGGTTCCAGCTGAAAAGGATATTGAAGAGTTCCTTGAAGGAGTTCAAGGAGCTTCCTGGGATGAAGGATCGATCAGAATCTCCAGAGAGAAGCTAAGATCGTTCTTTGACGAGAGTCTGCAGGGGATCGTAAAGAGTCTAGACAATATTTTAAGAAGAGGTTACAGAATTGGGTACATTCTGTTAGTCGGCGGTTACGCTGACAGCCAGATTCTATGGAGACACATTACTGAAGAGTACATTGGTGAATGTGAAGTTCTGTGTCCATTTAGGCCACAGGAAGCAATCCTGAAAGGAGCTGTGATGTTTGGGAGAAACCCAGCAGTTATAACATCCAGAAAAAGTGCCTTCACTTATGGGCTTGCTGTAGGCGAAAGGTTTGATGCGTCAAAACACAGAGCAGACAAGAAATACTCAAACCAAGATGGTGAGTGGTGCAACGATATTTTCATGAACCTGGTAAAAATTGATGAGGATGTTGGCTGGAACCAAATCAAAAGCTTTAGCTTGTATCCAACAAGCTCCACACAAACAACCATGAGCTATTATTTTTATCGCACAGAACATAAAAGTCCAAAGTACGTGGATGAGGAGGGAGTGGAGAAAATTGGTGGGTTTGTTCTTGACTCACCAAACACTGAACGTGGCATGAACCGTGAAGCCAAACTGAATATCAACTTTGGCTTCACAGAAATGAAAGCAACGGCCACAGACATCGATTCAGGTTCAACTAAATCTATCAAACTCGACTTATGAGGCGGTGAAAGGCTTTGACCTCCTCATGAAGTCACAAGAACATCTGGTGGCTTTTATGGTAATTCACTGCTGTTTGTCCAAACAGGGAACAAACTGTAAAACAGTGTAATAGAGAAACAAGGAATTGTAACATTAATTATACTTTAAAACAAATAAATGTAAAAATCATCTGTGATACTGACTTTTGATCTCTGTATGTCTGCAAGTCTTGAAATAAACTAATCGTGTCTCTACATCCAAACCTCAATGTTGATGTGTTTAAATATTATATTTATATATGTTCTTTATATATCTTGTTGTCTTTCCTTGGAGTGTCATCAACCTTCAGATCCCAGCAAGCAGGCCGAGCCCAGCCCTTTAACAGGTTCTGTTGGCATGCGCACGGTCTTTATTGGGGTCCGCCATAACTGCCGGAATCCTTCCGGTGTATTGACCTCTGACTCGAGGGACCAAAAATATGTCAGGTTTATCACCTATTAAACACAGATTAAACAAACACATGAAAGACGAGAGTTAGATTCTTTCTACTCACGAGGAGAACAGACAGAGACGTGCTTTCAGTTATAATCTCCTACCGTCTGAAACCACATTTGCCTGCTCCTCTCTTTTTATTGTTTTCAGGATCCCTAATCACAAAGAATACTGTAACTCTAAAGGGAGGGGAAAACAATTCATCACACAGCTACAGCGCCAATGACAATCACTAACTAAGACACAAGGTATCTTGCACTTGATAGTCTCGTTCCAGACACAGGGTTAAACAGAGCAAGTTGTACATCTTCACTGTCATAGTTTTATAGCAATCCAGCTGGTCAAAGAGGCCTTGCTTCCTGCTGAGAGATAAACCTGCAGAAACCTGTTGTCACTGCTTTCCTTCAGTGAGGCCTTCTGAGAAAGGAATCAGACTAATTCAACAATGCAGTAACATTCTTAATTCTAAGATGAAATTAATAAAAGCATATAAGAAAAGATGCATTATAAAGATGAATGAGAATGACAAATATTTGATTAATAATATCACAGTTTACCCAACAGCAACCATTCTGAGGGAACTAAATAATACAATATAATCACATAAAATCATAGAAACATGAGAAAGAACTGTAATACATTTTCTTTAAATTATTTGCTCTTTATTTGAAATCTAGTTACTGCTGGTTATAGATAGATAGATAGATAGATAGATAGATAGATAGATAGATAGATAGATAGATAGATAGATAGATAGATAGATAGATAGATAGATAGATAGATAGATAGATAGATAGATAGATAGATAGATAGATAGATAGATAGATAGATAGATAGATAGATAGATAGAAAAACACTGGTGAAATCTGTAAACACAATAAATAGCAAAATTGAAACCCATTGAAATAAGTTTTTATTTTCATCAAAAGTCAAATCAAACTTTTGTTTTGCCTTTGTTTTTCAGAATTCAACATTTTGCAAACATAGAAAGTATCTAATCATGTTTAATTTCTAGAATTTACACCGTTCTATAGACAATAAACCAGATTAATAGAAGCTAACTAGATGTTTTCAGAATACCCTTAAAAATAAACCTCTTAACTACTGGCCTGTTTATAATTCAGCAGTAGCACAGATTTATATAAAACAGTCATTCAATTAAATTAAAGTCAAACTGCAGTACAAGATGCTGCACAATGGAGGCAAACCAAGAGTAACAGAGAAAAACATGTTCAGGTTCACAGGAAACTCAGATGAATACATAAAATAAATATAATAGCCAAACTGTTTTAAATTTATGATGTTTAAAAAAGGTTTGAAAATAAAAAATTGCAACTAAGCAAACTTATTAGGTTTTATTAAGCTTTTAAAAACAATAATCACAAACATCTATTTTCAACTAAATTAAAAAGCTGCAGCTTTACGATCTATTAAAGCTGTCATACTTTCATTTTTTCACAGATTCAAAGATGTAGAAAGCGATATTGTTTCTTGATTCATTTAATTTCACTCATTGTCAGAAGCAGTTGTGATATTTTGGGGGAAAACGTCCCATCTATCCATCGATGGAGGATGATTCTCCCAGTCAGGCTGAAGAGGCGGGTTGTTCAACGCCATCAGGCAACCAAGCCAGTAACATTCAGAACCCAAATACTTCAACACATCCTGAGGATTTGCTGCTTCATTTTCAAGAAAGGGTTTCTGTTGACAGTAAATAAATAAAAGTGTTAGTTTGCTGTGTTAATTTTATGTATGGTAAGTATTTTGGATAAGTCAAACCCACCTGTGAACCAGCATCTTTTTTCTGGCTGTAGAGAGTCATCTGCAGGTTCTGAACTGTTAGCTGTTGGTACTGATCAACCTGAAGGAACAAACCTGAGTTCAGACACACAACTGGACCACAAGACATGACTTTAAAGAACATATTACCTTTTGTGGCATTCCTCCATCATTCTTCCCTTTTTCAAACACTTTATCTATCATCTTTCTTCTGTTTCTCATGTCAATCTTTGCATCCCGAAACTCTTTCTGGCATTATAGGAGAAAATGGAGACAAACAGGAACAATAATGGGAGAAACAGTAAAGTTGAATTTTGTGTCAACATAACTACCTGAATCAGTTCTTTCACAGAATCTGGATGTTTCTTGTTTGACTTTAAGTTTTTTTTTATTTTTGGCCAGTCACTCCTCAGTTCTTCATACATTTCCTTCAGTCTGTTCTTATTAACAGGATTGTTGAGGCTCATTGTTTTTCCTGTTTTGATTGACACAGCAACTTCTCCTGCCACTCTGTAAAAACCACACATATTCATTTACAGAAAACTATTTTAATTCTACATTTTATTCTTTGCAGTATTGGTGAAAAAAACATTTTAACTGACAGTCCCACTGTGAAAAACAAAATAAAACCCATCCAGTACCTGTCTTTGAAAGATTTCAGTTGTTCATCTTTTTCTTGTAGAGCAGATCTGTGCAATATAAAAATCCACTTTTAAAACATTCCAAGTCTTTCATTTATTGTTTCAAGAACCAAATCAAATACATAGAAACTTTCTGACAGAATTATATACAAATGTTTTTAACTGTTGATGTTATTTGGACTAGAAATGAAAACAAGAAAAGATGTCCAGGTGTTTTTTAACTACTGCTGTGTTTCTAGTGGTTTTTTAGTTTCAATGATCAATAGATAACTTAATCAACCACCTGACATGTGACAACTCCATTGTGCATTGTTACCTTGATTGTTGAAGTTGTGCTTCCATCTCTTTTACTCTGTAAAATCAGTGAACATGTTTATCAGAATGGATTCAATAAGTTCACACAATATTCTAAGAAAACAGGAAGAAAGGAAAAATAGTAAGTTCTTAAAATGTCTAGTTTTAAAATTCTTTGCCAGACAATTTTAAAGACATGTTCATTATTTACTCAACATTAATAACAATGACTCGTTGAGTAAAGCTCAACAGAATCAATTAATGTTAGCACGTTGTTGTGGCAACATGATTTCCTTTCCACTTTAATCCTATCTGTCATTTTTCTACTTTTTCTGTGTGATTACATCATGTTTGCTTCCATTGTGAAATACTAATGCATTTCTTTACTGTCACATTGGAATAAATGTGAATTGTTTAATTGGTACAGAAGTCTTCATTTAATGCTACATATTTTAAAAATATTAAAGATAATGTTTTATAGTTAGCTGTTTGAATCAGCTGAAAGTTTCACAATAATATTTAGAAAGATTTCATTTCATGTGAAAATCTGGAAAAGCAAATTACCTTTGCAGCAAAGTTTCAGTTTCCTTTTGCTTTTCTTTAGATGCAGATCTGTAAAGTAAAATACAATGAAAACCAGCTCACAGTGGATGAATGAATTAATGAATGAATTTACTTTATCAATTGAAGCTGTTCGTCCTTCTCATTTATGCTGTTTAAAAGCAAAGAGTTATTTATCTTAAGGTGTTTCATCAGCTCACAGTCATTGAAAATGAAAAGAATATTTTCTGTTTTAAATCAATGGATGTAACATTCGTTTGAAAGCTTCAATAACACCAGAATGCTTTTTTGCAGGCTTCAGTTCTGCATTCAATAATGACATCCACTTTCAGTTAATCACCACACTTATAAAGCCTCAATCAGTAGTTTTATGACTTTTTGACCAGCAGGTTTCATCATATTTAGTTCGACCATCATAGCTTCTTCAATTATTAATACTGGTGTATAACAAGGCTGTGTAACGAGTCACTGTAAATGTGATTTATTGCTGTGAATCAACACAATTTGTAGCTCGACTGAGGTAAACAAATTGAGCTGAATAAAAAAATTACAGACATATTTTAAAAAGTTTCTGATTTTTTTTTTTAACTCTACCTTTGATTTAGTTTCTCATGTTCATCTTCCTTTTTTATCAGAGCAGATCTGTCGGTGAACAAAGACAGGAGAAAAAGTTTGCACTCTTTAAAAAATTACAAGTTGAGCAAGACACTGGATCTTCTGGATTAATCTTGTAGAATATTTTACAGATAATTTACATTGCATATTATTGATATACTACTACTACAATATATGGAAACACCAAGTTATTCGACCTCTGGACTCTTCAGGGATTCCCAGCCACATAGACCATGTTGAAACAACAAGTAACTCAAATAACCTGATTATGTTTGATTTGATTATGTTATTGATTAGTTTCAATGACCACTAGATAACTTAATCAACCACCTGACATGTGACAACTCCATACATACATTGTTTTTTCATTGTTACTTCTTTTAGACAGTAGAAGAGCGAGATGTAAATAAATGATCATCAACTCCATGTGATGGTCATTTATTTACCATCACATTGATGGTAAATAAGACTTTCCTACTGGTGTTAGGAAGATCTCATAGTAACAAAGTTTCAAAAAACTACCTTTGCAGCAAAGCTTCAGTCTCCATTTGCTTTTCTTTCAATGCAGATCTGTGAAGTAAAATACAAAGAATGAAACCAGCACACAGTGGATGAATGAATTAATGAATGAATTCATGAATGAATTAATGTATTTACTTCATCAATTGAAGCTGTTCATCCTTCTCATTTATTCTGTTTAAAAGCAACAGAGTTATTTATCTTAAGGCGTTTCATAAACTCAGTCATTAAAAATAATAAAATTTCATATTTTAAACCACTGAATGTAACATACATTCGTTTAAGAGCTTCAGTTTCCTTTTCTTTGTCTTTCAGAAATCTGTGGAGCAACATGAACAGTTCACCCTGAATCAATGCAAAACCATCAACTGAACAAACATTGGCTGCAGTCTGATGAGATAATCAATCTATTTGATTATTTCTGCTGAATTAATCATGTGGATGTTAAATTTACTATTGAACATCCACATTGTTTGGCTGCTATCTGATATCTGAGCCGTTTGGCCTTCATTTATAGTTGATGGTAACTATAAAATACATTGTTTTAACATTTAAAAAAGCAAATACTTACTTCAATAGATGTTGCTTTTGTTGAGCAGCTTCCTTCTCTTGGATCCTGACAAAAATTATACGTTTTTTTCAGTTTTAACAAACCAAAACATTTTTTACTCTGGCTGGTTGTTCTGTCAAAATTTAGAGTTAATTAAAGTGTGAATCTGTTTTTTCATCAGTAATGCCATTTACTAATGAAAAAACAATAGATTCATTGGATGTGGCATTTAGTAAATACCACATCTTTACAAAAAATATAATAAATAAGATGTTGCAAGTAGAAAAGAAATATGATTAGTGATTCTGCCATTGCAATAAAATCAATGGGTTATCAATAGTTATTAAAACTATTTTGGCAATGATAGAGAAGCTTCCTTTGAAAATTTGAAAATTTGAAAAGTTTTGGATTTAACTTTTTAATTACCTATCAGACTCCCAGAGTTTAGCAACTGTTTATTTATTGTTAATGTCTTGAAGTACTTTTGCTTCAAGGCCTCAGTTAGTTTTTCTTTTCTTTAAGCACAGATATGTTGAAACACCCAGAATGAAAACCAGCTCACAGTGAATGAATGAATGTTGAAAAATATTTACCTTATCAGTTCAAGTTGTTCATCCTTCTCCTTTATTCTGTTTAAAACCAACACATATTTATCTTGATGTCTCACATCAGCTCACAGTCATTGACAAAAAAACAAATTCCATGTTTTAAATAATTTACTGTGACATACATTCGTTTGAGATCTTCATTTTTCTTATGAGATGATCTGTAGAGCAACTTACTAAATTAATCCAAACATACTGGCTAAACAAATCTTGGCCTCAGTTAGATAAATCAATGAACTTTTTAAGTGTTTTTTTAAGTGTTTTTTCTACTGAATTTAATGTAAGTCAAATATTTAAATCCAGTGATGTTGCTTCTGTTCGTTATTTTTCATATCTTCAAACCTTTTAACAAATAAATGATTTCATGAATGTTTGTTCACACAAATCTCTTTTTTAAACTAATAATTCTAGTTTAAAAAATAAATCCCCATAAATAATTAGCAACTTAGCAAATCAGATAAGAAACTGAGTTATTGTGTTTTCACAGTTAAGACTGTAAAGTGAATATCTTTTGATTAGAGCTGAAATCAAGATTCGGTGAACAGGAAGTAAAGAGCATCCCTTGTGGTGTGAATGTGTGAAACGTCAGTTGTGTAAGTCATGTCAGATGTCTTTGTTCATCACCTTATTTGCCTCTATGAAGGTTTATTCTGTTGGGCTTACTATGTACTGCTTAATGTGTAAATTATGTAATCTGAACTTTTGTTTGATTATTGTTTGTTTTTTAAGTCACTAAACTTATGATATTGTCCAAATAAAAAAAGTACAATGTTTCACATTAAAACATTTTAATACCTTTCTTGCAAGTCTTGAATTTTCACATCCTTTTCTTTTAGAGCTGATCTAAGAAGTCAAACAAACAGATTAAAAACCAGCTCAAGAGAGACAAGATAAAGAAAGAGAAATTAAAATGAAAAGATATTTACCTTGTGTTTTGATGTTGCATTTCTTCATAATTTAATCTGTGTAAAAACAACAGAGTCATGATTATCTTCATGTTTCCTGTCAGGTTTTACAGCCATCATAAGAAAACAGGGAGAATAAAAAATTTAGCACATTTGAAAAGTCAGATTATGAAATCCACTACAAAATATCTGACCACTCTGTTTTTTGATATATTATTTATTTTACTGCAATGGTAACTTTTAATAAATACTAATCTGTAAGGATGTGAAGGAGAAGAGCTCCAGTTAGTTTTTGCTGTCTTCACTTTGAGACAGCAGCTTTGTTACCAGAGAAAGAAACAATCTATAGGATGAACAGACATGAATAAATTAATGATGCAGGAATCAAACTAGCTGACCAGAGGAGGGATAAAATAACGCTCACACATTGTTTATATTTTGCTTTGTGTCAATACTGAAGGGAAATACTTTTGTTGATGGTGAAGTTTGAATCATGAAGTGAGTGATGATGATGTTCCAGGTCACTTTTACCTGAAAAGGATGTTTTATTTTTCATAGCAGGTCATTCTGATAAGAAACGTAAAGAGGGAGTTCAAGCTTGGAAAGAGAAATAACTCTAAAAAGAGTTTTAAGCTGTCATGTTTTTGGTTTTGAAATTTCCCAGTGGTGGACAAAATCAGGAAAAACTCCTAGAGCTCCAGGATGAAACGAGACAAGAGACCTGCACTAGTTAAAGGAAAGAACATTTCTAATGATGGTATTTGATTGGTCACAACAATGAAATCCAAAACAATAGTTATAAAATCATATCAAAGGTTTTGTAACCATTAAGAAGTCAGAGATTTTCTGGAGTTTTTAATTTGTATTCAGATGTGTTGAATAAATCTCCTGGTTGGTCTGATTGGAGCAAAGAGGTTTGAATCCTGTGTGATGATTTTTATTCCATAACTTTGCCCTAAAAAATCTCAGCTTCTTCTATCATAAAAATAGATGGAAATTCACTTCCTTGAACTTATTTTTTATCACCATGTAGTAAAAATTTTGTATCCAAATCATTGAGTCAAACTGGACGTGCTGACAGAGTTTAGAAATTGTTAATTCATTGATAACATCTGGGAACATGAAGTACCTTCTCTGCAAGTCTTCATTTTTACTTTGCTGCCCTTCAAGTTTAGATCTGTGGAGTGAAAAACACAGAATGAACACCAGCTCACCGTGAATGAATGAATGAATGAATGAATGAATGAATGAATGAATGAATGTTGTTAAAACAATTACCTTATTGCTTTAAGTTCTTCATTCTTCTCCTTTAGTCTGTTTAAAAGACAAATTTATCTTTACAGTAATTGAAAGAAAGAAAATCTGATTTCATGTTTCAAACCATTTACATTCGTTTGAAATCTTCAGTTTCTCTCTCCTTCTCCTTTGCCTTACAAGAAGATCTGTGGAGTACAATGAGCGTCTCATTAATATAATGGAAAACGTATCAGCTAAACAAAATGTTGCCAGGGAAACAGAAAGAAACAACCTGAACAGTTTTACAAAATAAGAATAGAAGAAACAAATTGATGCAGGAGTCAAACTCCTGCTGGTCAGAGGAGTGAAATTAAATAGTAAAAAACACTGTTTGTGCGTTTAAGTCAGGAAGTGAGTGATGTTAATGTTCCAGGTCACTTTTACCTGAAAATAAGTTTTTATTTTTCATTGCAGGTGATCCTGATCTGAAAATTCAGGAGGGAGTTCAACTTTGGAAAGATAAAAAAATAACTGCTGTAATCTGTTATGTAGTTGGATCAGTTTGAATAAAATGATTTTATAGATGATGAACATATTAAATCACAGCAGGAACAATTGATATGCAATATTAAATGGATATTTTCTTCCTACTGCAGTATTTGTATTTCACCTTCAATCTTTCACTAGAAGGACATAAATATTGATAAGCAAATTAAACTAGAATTAAACTAGTTGGTTTGTAATTGTTTCAATAACATAATCTTAATCCTAATGAAATAATCCTGTATATCCAGTGGTGAGCTTTGTTGTACCTTTTGCAAAGTTTTAGCAAATTGAAGCAATAGTTTGTTACTACTGGCTACTGAAGATTATGTTCAGAGTTCCCCACTTGGTATTGAGTAATTATGCACAGTGGAGTGAAAAACTATTCTTTACTATCACAAAATATTGATCTAACAGCAGCCATCTTGTTTAGCTCAGCACTTCTCGCTTCACAAAAGAGGGATGTGTTTTTTTACAGTGCATGCAATGTGCAGAACCTCATCAACAAATATAACGACTGGACAAAAGTTGGAATCTCAACAGAGTTCACGCCTCTAGGAATCAATAGTTTCTCAAGAGGTGAAAGGTCAGATGTTCTGTATGAAGCAAAGTGTAGAAAAATAATATGGTTTTAAGCATGTTACATGAATTATTCAAAAACAATGAAAGATTTGCAGCATTGAAAAAAATGCATTACCTTTTTTGAGCTCAACGTTATATTCTCATTTTATATTAATAAATTAGTTAATTCTACATACCTTTGCAGGAGTGAGTCTGTTTCCTTTACTTCTGCAGATGCTCTGTGGAGTAAAACATCCAGCATGAAAAACGACTCATTCAGAAGTTTTCTAAGACTTGTTGAGAAACAAACACTAAACTTGGGATGAATCTCCAAAAATAATCCTGCTGCATTTTCTACTGAATATTTACTTTGCACTGATTTGAGAACATGGAAACCAGAATGTATGTATGTATATACATCTGTTGATTCTGGTAAACAATTTATTGGTTTTGCATTTCCATTCCAATTACTTTTTAATCAAAGCTGTAATGGCCAACATGAAATGATTAATATATTTAAACAAATATATTACTCATATATGAGTGATATATGGGTAATATTATAACTAAGGTATTGTGTATAGATCAACATGGGGAAAATTATTGATTTAGTACTTAAACTGAAGCTTAAGTACTAAAATATTCTAATTCAATTAGGAATACAAATTACAGACAATGAGAGTCTGTAATTCAGATCTCCACTGAGTTTCAATTTTTCCTGCCTGCAATTTTAATTTTCCCATTTGGCTGGTTGATGTTGGTTTTTCAGAATCTGTTCAAAGTCTCTAAACTGCAGAACACAACTGTGGTTTGTTATTCTCAAATTAAAGTCAGATATTTACCTTCTCTCAGAATGTGGCTGCTGCTGAACTTCATCAACATGCTGGAAGCTTAATCAAAACATCCACAAACAATATTACAATAATTAGGTTAGCACCACCTGTTGTTCAAATGCAAATATTTATTAATTATTGCTTTTTTACTTTATATGCAACATTCCTTTGATTCAGTCATAATGTATCCCAGAATTGATATGATTTCCCATCATAATGCCCACATTGAGCAGGTACAGAATCTGATAATCATTAATAAAGAAAATAAACCTATTAGGAAGCATTTTGTCACAATGTGTTTCATCACCTCCTACCTCTGTTTCATTTTCTTTATTTACTTATAGAGAAACTGGTTGCCTCCATCTGCCAGGGCAGATTTACTCAGCAAAAATTACATCTGAAGATGATTTTCTAATTTCATGATTGAGTTAATTAAATGAAAACTGCATCAAGAGTCAAAGTTAGTAATTTTTGTCAACTTTATATGTTCCAAATTTCTAAACACTTTATGAATCTTTCTGAGCATAATTATAAAGATAAGCCAAAACATGATTAAAATTTTATAGTATTGTGCTCAATCCATAACCCTACTGAAGGAAATGTTTTAGGTTTTATCACATGAAACCAAATTTCATTCACACAGAGATGCATAAACCTACACAGTTTTTCATAATTTTTGTTTTTAATACCATTATTTATCACTAAACCATTAAATACAATTCTTGAAAACACCCATCCTAGCTCTGTTGTGGAAAAAAAATGATCCAGTTGTTTTATGGGAAAGAGGTAAAAGTTAATCAAAAAAATGAAAAATCAGAGAACTCTTACCTGACCTGGAGAAGAAGTTTTAATCGGTCAAGCCTTCAGAAAGTAATTTATACAGATGTTAGTTCGTATGAATCACACAAGATCACTTGTTTATTATGATGCTAGTTGATACATAGAAGATCACATGATGGTGAACCAAGACATTCTGCTGAGAAGTGAACATATAAATCAAACTATTATGAAGAAAGGGAACTTCCAGAGAGTTTTTAATCCAGCAGCCCAAACTAAAGACTTTCCTGATGACAGACATAAGAAGCTTTGAAATTCAGACTTTTGAATCTGACAGAAAAACTAGATTGTACTAAATGCATGCAGAGTAAAATATGCATTATGTGCATTAATGGGGACTTTTTGTATTTACATTTATGTCACTGCTGTCCTCTTCTAGTGACAACAGATGCACAGAGACTAAAGGTACAGAAGAAAAATTATTATTCCTGACCAGATAAATAAGTGATGTGTCACCTCACAGTTCTGGTCGAGGTCTACAAGATGAACTGGAACTGACCAGTTGAATGGGAGAATTTTTTATGTTCACATACTAAACCTTTTTTATTGTATGCGATTTAAAATTAATTACCTTTTTAGCAGAAGTTTCATTTTTTCTTCTTTTTCTGAAGATCTGCAAATTAACATGCACAACATAACAACAGGCTCACACTGAATTGTATTGGATTTAAAATCTATAATACATTCTTAGTAAATGCTAGAAGATATTTACCTTATGTTAAGACCTGTTTGAAAATCTTCCAATATTTGGATTCTTAAAAATTATCACAGAATATTAGTTTTGACAAAAAATAAATAATAAATGAATTAAAAAATAAATATATAAAAATGCATACATATTTGCTTTATTGTTCTTTCTTCAATGAAAATTGAACAGACATATTTGCACATTGGTTGACAGTACCTTTTCTGAAGGTAAAGCATGTCTGCTGTTTTCATATCTTTTTTGTAAAAAAAAAAAAAATTGTTGCCAACAAATTCTTAAAGGTTGACATGATTACAACTGTAACTCATATTATTTTAAAGTGTCTTCCTAAAGAGTAAAGAAGAGCAGGACTCATTCTAAAGCCGTCCAAACTGAGCGACTGGGGAAGAATATAATAATAATTCCTTAGTGAGGGAGATGACAGAATCTGATGGTTACTCTGTCAGAGCTCTGAGAAGATGTGAAAACCATCCAGAAGGACAAACTATTTCTGCATTAATCCACCAACCTGATCACTGTGGTAGAGTGACCAGACACAAGCTAATCCCTTATAAAAGACACATTGGCAGCCCAGCTGGAGTTTACCAAAGACACCTGAGGGACTGTCTGATCTGACGAGACAAAGGTTGAACTCTTTGGTGTGAATGTCAGGCATCATGTTTGGAGGAAAATCTAAAGCCCATGCAGTGAAGCATGGTGGTGGCAGCATCATTCTGTGGGGGTGTTTCCCAGCAGCAAGATCTGGGAGACTAGTAGGGAAAACCTGCTGCATGATGCCAGATTGCTGTCCCCCCAATGGTTCTTCAGAACATCGACCCAAAGCACATGGCCAAGATCTGAAAGTTTCTCCATAGAAATGTGAAAGTGGCTGCACATGTCCACCAGCCAACCTGATGAACCTGGAGAAGATCAGTGGGCTAAACTGACTAAAGGTTGGTGAGATAAGATGGTGCCATTATATTAAAAAGTCTTGAGGCTGTAATTGCTGCCAAAGGTGGATCAACAATGAAGCAAAGATCGTGATCACTTGCATAAATCTTGTTTTCATTTTTAAGAAATTAGCAAAAAAAATAAACACTCAAAATCTTTTATTCCCCATATTTTCATAATGAAGTATTTGTGCATAAGATATTAGGAAAGACATTACAACTTCAAATAAGACTGTGACCTAACAAAATATTGAGAAACTGAAGACAAGGGAAATCACTAATGTGGATGAGCAATTACAGGATTTAGCATTTTAAGGTAAAACGGTTTCTAAAAGCTCTGATCACTTACTGACAGCATTAAAAGTAAGTAGTAATTTTATTATTATGCTCATCGCACCATCAGTACCTTTGTAACTGAGATTCCTTCTCATCTGGTTGAAGAGCAGATCTGTGGAGTGAAAAATCATAAAAATGCTATAAACTAATCAAACAACTGCATTCAGAGAAAACAAATTAAATCTGGTAAATTTACAACACAAAATTAGTGATGAACAATTGTTTTTCCAAAAGGTAAAAATTTTCTAAATTCAGAGTCAACATCAGTCCAGATACTTACGTAAATTGGTGATCTTCTTGTCTCTGGATTTCTTCAATCTGTTCAATACTTTTGAATAAAATCAAATTAGTTATTTTTGAAAAAGAAAAATTAGAGGTTTGCTGGGGAAAATATAGAAATATTTAAAACATTTTCAGCCTGTATACAGATATTATTGTGGCAGTTTGGAGAACTTTATGGTTTTTGAATGAGCTTCACAAATAAACTGAACTTGAACCTAAAATAATTTTTGAGCTGCATAATATCACAATTTTCTGCAGTAGAAAATCTTCCTCAACCTTCCATCATCCTCATCTGTCACAGCAATTTTAACAACTGTGACTGTGAGGAGAAAACTAGTTTAACGTGATTTATTTCTTATTAGACCGATCAATAAAACCGTGACAAAAAAACAGTAAATGACTCCAAACCTTTAGAACTGACTTGTTTATATTCTCTGCCTCAGTTTTCTCTATTCTTGAATTCAATTCAATTCAAAAATACTTTATTTATCCCAAATGTTGTTAAAACTCATTGATTCAGGTTCTTCAAAGCGTTATTGTAGAAGCTAATGACTGTTGGCAGGAAAGATCTTTTCTAACAGTCTGTATTACAGTGAATTTGAAGAAGCTTCTGACTGAAGATCCTCTGTTTTTCCAAGACAATGTCATGAAGAGGATGCTCAGGGTTGAACATAATTTTCTTGATTGTTTCTGTATTTTTTCACTTTTCTTTTCTATGCCCCAAATCTGGTTTGCTGTTAATCTAAACCAACATCTCTAACATATTTTAGCGTCTATGAATAGAACATTACCTTTTTTGGAGTGAGTCTAGCTTTTTTTTTCCTGTTCCAAAGCAGATCTGTAAAATTAGTGAGACAGTTATAAAAATACAAATAAACAAAATATACACTTTTAATAAAAGGATTTAACCCAAACACAATAGTCGGAGGATCTTCTGGATTAATCTTGACAAATTTACCAGCTTGGAACTTTACATTAATTGAGTTAAGTGACTTTTTTCAGCCTTTATATTTCCTTTAAATCAGACTGAAGTTTACCTTATCGCATGATGCTGGTCTTCATGGTCAGATTCAATTTTATTGCTTGAAAAACAACAAAAATGTCAGTTTGGTCAAATAAATGTGTAGTTTGTCAGAAAAAAATTGTTTCAATTCAATTCAAATGCTTAAATGCTCCATTTAAGGAGCAATTTTCTTTAAAACACACTGAGTAACACTGAAAGGAAAGAAAACAATTTAAAGCCTGACACTATGGCTCCTACTTCTGGAGGAGAAATGCTTTTTCACATGGAGCCATGTAAGTTTGGATGTTTTTCTCCTTTAATAATAATCAGCACCTTAATTTTAAAGTGCATTTTGGGTTTACTTGTGTTGCTTTGGACTAATATTTGAATTGGTTTGATGTTCTGAAACATGTATAAAAAAGAGAACAATAAATCATGTCTACTGTATTTATAGCAGCCATTAACTGAAAAAAAAAAGAAACAACAAAAATAAAAATAAAAAAACAAAAACAAATGAATAATTTTTAGATGCACCATGTGCCAGCATATATTACCTGGGGTTCTGGTTTCCAGTCCAATTCAAGTCATTATTGAAACAGCTGAACACCCATCTCAGTGGCCTCATCACTGTCTGGAAACGTGATGAGCTGTTCATGTTGCTGAAATACAGAATAAAACATTAAAATAATGACAGAAACAATTGGAGCAATCTAAAAACCTTCTTGTTTAAAGAAGGGTTATTTTCTAAATGTAATATTATGCTAAGAAAAGTAAATATGGAATCCAGTACAGATGTACCACTTCAAATATTTCAGGCCTGCTATTTCTGAGGAAATTAATTTTTAAATTTAAGGTTTAAAATCCATGGATTTCATATCTTGTTGTCGTAGTAACAGATTATATGAATAGGATGTCTCCACGTGGCTACAAATCTAATCACTTTAAACTTGTGTAACTACTATTGTGCATTATGACACATTATGAATTTTAGAAGATTTGTTTTGAAAACTGGTTAATTTTCCAGTTCCATCTCAAAAGTTTATTTGAAGATGTGGTAAAAATAGCATGTAGCTCAACTTAGAGAATAATATTTTGTTACTCATCCAACTTTATTTTGACTCGTCACATTGAACATAAATGTGTAAACATTAGTTTATGATATAAGATTAAATATTCATCATTAAGCCTAGTTGTTCTGTGGAAAGTATTGTTTAAGTTGCTTTTTCTAATAGGTTCGCTGAATCCACTGGCAATTTTCTTTAATCAGCAAAACATGCTTTAAATTTTTATCAAAATATTTTCTATCTATTCTTTAATTCATACCTTGATCTTAGACGCTCTTCTTCTTCATGCAGATTAGATCTTTGAAGTAAAATATACATTATTGACAAACATTCTCAGGTTGTCAAAAAATCTTCTACTGAATTTATTGCACTTCAAAATGTGTCATACTCAACTAAGAAAAAAAAAATATATTTACCTTATTGAATCATGTTTTTGTTTCTGAAGATTTGTAATCTGTTTGAAACTTTTGACAAAATTACAAAATGTTAGTTCAGTGGAAAAACAACTAATTCTTATGCTTCTTGATATGAGAAAATTCAAAGTTCAAACACAAAATCTTATATTTTATTATATCAGAGGAGTAAATCTGCAGTACCTTTCTTTAACTAATGATAGATTTTGTTCTTCTCGGCCCAAAGCAGATCTGTGAAAAACAGATAAAAC